TAGCCAATAAACTGCCAATTTTGTTCATGTTAATTTATCTTGCTAATGAACCTAAATTATTGTAATGAGATAACTTCAAACAATATTGTAACACAAGTATGACTTTGGCATGATATAAAAGCAAAGTTTATCAATAGTAGTTTAGTCATGAAGGGCTCGTAAAAATTATCTTAAATTAAATGTTAATAAAATATTATAGAATGTATTATTACATATACATTGAATTCTCTTATAGGTTCAAATAAAGTTTTCTTAGAATGACGGAAAAATCAACAAATAAGATTTTTAAGACAAATAAGACTTTTAAAACATTAAAAAACTTTTAGATTAATTCATAAGCGTTAAAAGATTTTTAAACATGAATTAAAAAAAAAAAAAATTATAATATATTAATTTTTATTTAATTAAATCCATAACTTTTAAATACAATATTTACAAAGTCAGTAATAAATAATAGTAAATTTCACAAAATAATTAACATTGTCAAAGATGCCTTACCAATTTTTTATATTTATTTAAATTAAAGATAAAAACTTAACATCTGTTTGTAAATATCATAGCAGCACTTAAATATTTGTATAGCTTTAGTTCTTCGTCTTGACCATAAACCCCCCAAAAAAATATTGTAAAAAATCTCAATAAAATATTCAGATTCTTTTATTTCTATGGTAATGGTAAATGTCCATCATTTTTAAATAATTTACACTTTGTATGTTTTTTTTACTTAGTTATTTTTTGAAAGTATCATTTATTGAATTTACATTATGAAATTTAACAGTACCACCAGTGGCACAGCATTTGCTTAGTTAATATTTTTTTTATATTTTCTGTTGTTTTAGCTGTTTGTACCTTTTTTGTATCAAACTAATAAATATATTAACTAGTTTCAATATTTACTTGAAAATCCAGTTGGATTTTTTTTGCTAATAAAAAGTTATTTAAAAATTGTGTTTGATGCTTATTATCATGATTAAAACTGGCTCTGATTCAGAATCAATCTAATTGAAAAATGGCTAAGCTTTTTTGTTAAATATTGTCATACATTTGCTAGGTTAATACACAAATCAAAATCATCAATAATATGGCTGAGGCAATTTTTTTTTTCCTTTTAAAAGGTAATATTGTTAGGTTTTCAAGTATATATTGTTTTTTTTTTTAAAAATAAAGCAATAAATACCTGAAAAATGGAGTTCACTAACAAAAACTATAAAATGTACAAGATCATTAATTGAAAAGAAATGCAAAACTTCTCCATGATATTTTAAAATTAACTCTCCTAACTATTTAATTTCCTTTGAATTTCTAAACTTACAATTTTTTTTTGTTTATTATAAAATATCATAACAGAAATTACTGATATAAATGATAAACATATAAAGCGATACAGTTAGGAAAAAGAAATTAATTTTTATTAATTCTTATAGTCTAGATTTTCTAGGACAATAGCTAGGTCAGGTTTTTTTATAATTATAACCAGGAATAATCATTCTTGTTTATAAATATAAAATAAAATGACTTGTTCTAGATAATCTAGATACTAAAAATTAGTAAAAATTATTTTCTCTTTCCTAACTGTATATCTTTAAATGTTTATTTTTGGTTTGGTTTGGTTTGGTTTATTCATAGTCAAAAATAAATTTCTCTCTGTTATGAAAATGCAGTTTTTTAATTTCAGCTTGAGTGAAGATGCCGGAGCAAAGAAAGTTCGTGCTTGAAATTTTTTAAGTTCTTTGCACCAACCGCATTTTGGGTTAAAGAACTCCATAATTTTACAACACGGTTGGTGAAGAAATTGCTTCTTTCAGCGGTTGGTGAAGAAATTGTTTCTTTTAGTTCTTTAGTGTGTTCACGCGGCCGAAAAATGTACTTTGAAGATTCTGTGTTTGGTTGAAGTTGAGGGACGTGAAAGTTAACTTTATCAATTTTGCTTACAACTTTATATTGATCAATAAGATCTACTCTTTCTCGTTGTTTAGTTAGTGTTGTCAGGTTTAGGTTTGATATTCTTTGAGTATACGAAAGGTGTTTTAGGGTGCAAATATGTTTTGTTAAATTTTTCTTGGGTGTTCCAGTTATTCAAGGATTATAATGGCTTTAAGTTTACTCGGTGAAGCGGAACATGGCATTGTTTGCTCTTTGCTTATGAAGCGTGATATATTTAATTAAAAAAAATATTGAATCCGTTGTATCATCTAATATGTTTCAAGTAATAATTAGGCCGTATATCTAAAGTTGATGAGCGAGCGTTTAGCTAATTGTAATTGCCACTCAAAAATTTTTACGAGAACAAGTTTGAAGTTTTAAGAGTTTCTACAATTCTAAAATAATTTAATATTTTCAAGCGCTACTGCTACCTTTCGAGATCCAGAAACCGCTACCGCGATTTTGGTACTTTATTAAATTTAAAAAAAAGTAGCGCTAGTCCACTTTTAGGCCCTTATAAGAAATTTAAATTTTGAAAAAGAATAAAAAATAGTTTTCTTCTCCCACGTTGAGCTTTTGATATCTATTTTGGATGATAAAAAATTTATTTTTTTTTAGTTTTTTTACCTTTCTTTACTATTAAATTTAAATTGCCAATTTTTTATCAGAAAATTTTAACATACATAAATGGCGCTAGCATCCTGCTAGTGAGTTTTTTTAAAGTTGGTTACCTGCAAAGATGGATTAAAAAGATGCACGCTTCCTAAGCATGCATCTTTTTAATCCATCTATTGCATTTTCAGCTGTGTTATATTCATAACAAATGTGCTGACAACTGGCAGTTTGTAAAAGGGATGCACAAAAGAACGGAAATACCTTTTTAAGTCGAACGTTTAAAGAAATTTAGGTTGTCAATTACAATAAAATAGAACATTATGTGCTTTGATCAATAATTATTTTAGCATATCATAACAGGTGTTATAAGTAGTCAATCTCAGGGCTGTCTTGATCTTGTTTACGATCACAATTCTTTATGTTTAGACATTCAATATCCCATGAGTCTTTGGAAATGGTTTAAAAATAATAGCCGTGATACTATCTATGTACCCTTACAAGTCAGAAGGTTCATCATTTAGGCTGCACAACGACATTGCTTTGGTACAATGATATATTCTTTGGAAGTTTCTATGATAAACAAAAACCATTTTTATCTCTTATTTTCTTTATAATGACTTCACAAAATTACAATAACGAAAATATAGTTTTAATTAAAACCTCCATCTCGGAGCACATTCTTACACCTTCCCATCGTCTTTAAATTAAATATTGTACTGTTTGTGTTCGAGACTGTTTTATTATTTTCTCCATAATTATAAAAGACTTTTTCCTATGTTGGGGTATGTCTTCGGAATCGGTTTTTGTAATAGCTTTGTAGTTATCGGCAGAGTAGCTGTTATTTTACTTGGTGTAAGAAAGTTTTCCCATTATAACGCTAAAAACACAATTTTTTTATGAGTTTATAAGGGGTTGTAATGGTTTGGAGCGTTTTAAAGGAGAGTATTGTTTAATTTGCTGATATTCTGCAAAAAATAGCCAGCTTGTTCTTTACTGTCGTTTTAACTATATTGTTTTTTCTTTTGTTTTCCTTGGTCTTTGTTTAAAAATTTCTGATTGACTTCAGAGTTTTATTGTAGTAAACCAAGTTGCTTAACGTCGTTTCCAAAAAACAAAAGTTTGTGGTGTGTTTTAATCATATGGAATGTAGACTGACAAAGTTTGGTGTGACTTTCTTTTACGACATTGATCTGTTCTTTTAAGTTATAGCTTTTCAAATGTTTTAAGATTTAGAATATAGATCGTAGCTCCGGTGTTGATTCGAGTGGTTGTTGGTATATTTTTATCTATATATTGGTATATGTTAACTGTTACCATAAAGTTTTCGACTGCGTCATTAATTGTCTGTTTAGTAATCACATAGTACAATCCTCGTTCGTTTAACTTTGAATGAAGATTTTTGGATTCGTTAATATCTTGTTGTTGCATCAAGTTGATTATATCAAAAATTTTATTAAGATACCAAATTTCAATTAATTGCATCCCTAACTTGTAATTTTCAAAACATATTCTGACTCTAGAAATAGTTATCAGCTAATTGTTTTTGAAATAAAATGCTTCTACACATCCTACCGTTTGTATTAACTTTTAATGCAAGTCGGATATGACACCTTCTGAGAGCTTTCAGTTCAGGCTTCCTTTATTTTATTAACTTTGTTTTTGAAAACAAAAAGTGCAAATAAAATAAATTACCATTAAACAAAAATATTTTAAAAAACTGAGAGTTAAAAGTTTTACATAAACTATTAATTTTGAAAATAAAAGAAATAGTATATTAAACGAGCATTATTTTACTTATAGATTTTTAAAAAATTAAGATAATTAAATACATTGAACTGTTTTTAATTTATCGTTAAAAAGAAATTGCAATTGTTCTGCAATTGTATATTTTTAAGATGATTTAAACTTTGTCTTAAATTAATTTAATGAAATAATAATAAAGTCTAGATAAGCCCATATACTTGCACTATATAGTTAGTTTAGTATAAAAATATCACTATATAATGTATACGCAAGCCCGAAGCGAGTAGTTCTGTTATTTACATTAAGGGTTTAGGCTGGGACAGCAATAACTTTTTCAATATATTTTATGTCTTCCTACTTTTTTTAACAAAATATATTATAAAAATAAGATTTATTTAATGTTTTGAAATGAATGTTTTTGTTTTTAACAATGACAACGTTCTTTAAATTTTGGTTCCAGTAATAGTTATCTGAGCTGTTTTAATAATTCACAAATACTGTTTGCTCAATTTAACAGTGGGCTTTTTTTTGTGTTTTTTTATTTTTTATAAGATGTTTGCTATGTATAATGTTGTTATTTTTGTAATAGCATTGACCAAACGCAGCTTTTGATTTATTGAGTTTCTTTTTTTTGCTTATTCAATTATTTTGCCATTATACATTCTTTCTTTTAACTTCTAATTTTTGTGTTAGTTTTAACTTGTTCTGTTTTTGTTTAGCCCTATGATATTTTTTCCATTATGCACTATGATTTATGGGCTTTTTCAAAAAAATTAAAGCGCACTGCCAACACAAAGACAATAAAATTAAGACCAGAGTTTATGAATTTAACAGCAGATGTTGAGGAAATAATTGGAAAAACATATAGAATGAGTGATACAGATAAGCTTATGGTTAATACATTGTATGGATGCATTGGTATGTAAATATTTTTAACTTGTTCTATTTTTATTTAGCCCGATAATATTTTTCCTATTTTTCATTATGATTTATGGGATTTTTCAAAAAAATAAAATGCACTTCCAACACAAAGATAACAAGATTATAACCAGATTTTATGAATTTTACTGCAGATATTAAGGAAATAATTGAAAAAATGCATAGAATGTATAGCTAGTAAGCAAGTCATATTGGGGCTTAAATGGGTTGCGCACATCCCGCTTAAGGAAAATTGTCGCGGGGCGTGAATTGGGGCCCAAGTGAGCAGCTCATATGGGCTATATATTTAGGACCCACATGGATCCCGTTTTTTTTATTTATTTAAATTTTTTATAGTATTTTGAATAATTATTTTTTTTTAAATTAGATACATTGAATTTAATATGTAGTCATAATTATATGACTTAAGATAAACTTTATAGAAGTAAAACAGAAAATCTAAGAAAGTAAAAAGAAGTAAAACAGGAAATCAAATAGAGGAAGAAAATAGTATTAAATTTAAATTGCCAATTTTTTATAGGAAGAAATTAGTAAACAGTATTATCCATTAATAAATATACCACAGTATTTAAATAATAAAATAGCAAAAATAGTAGTCAAACATAGCTATTTAATCTTTTTTTTTTTTGTATTGTGATTTTTTTTTGTATTGTGATTAGGGATGGCAAAAATCCCGGAACTTTTCAATTCCATAATTTCGGGATTGAGAAACTAGTCCCCGGGAAATCCCGAGAAATCCCGGGATTTAATTAAAAAAACGCAATTGTTAAAAGAGACAAGCATAATAAGAACTTTTTAAGTACTTAATTTATTAATGAACCTAAAATTAATTTAAAACATCTGATGTTTAAATTTAATTTTGTTATATTAAAACTTAATAACATTTGATAAGATTTAAGATTTAATGATTTAAGATGATAACATTTAAAAATTAATAAACCAAAGTAACAGTATTTTAAATTATAAAACAATACCCTAAATAAAAATAATAATTAAACAATGATATAAAAATGCAGGAACATATATGAGTTATATATTTTTTTAAAGTACCACCTTAAAAAACTCAAAGGGTCAATCATTTTGTCGCTTCGATGTTCGATTTTTTGAACATAAAAACCCAGCGGCGGAGAATGCTCTTTCAGACTCCACACTTGTTGGCCGTATGGTTAGCATATAATCGTATGTTTTTTGAAGGTGATCGCCTTTTGTGCTACCACTTTCAAATAACAACTTTTCTTTTTGAACTTTAGAAGATATACTTTCTACCCTTATAGGTAGTGTTCGTATTGTTGTCAATTTATTTTCCATAACTTCCTTTAATTGTTCGCTAATGGTTTTGACGTTATTATCACATTTGTGGCTTGATAAAGCCTGGTTTAACTGAACATCGCTAGTCGAGTCTGCTGTTATTATTATATTTGTCGAATTTAAACGCCCTATCAGGTTTATGAAATTTTTTTTATTTTGGGTACTTGTATTTGGAACAAAAACTTCTGCCATTTTTAATGAAGTAAACTGGCCATTACGAAGATAATAAACTAAGCGGTGTTCTCCTCTCTTTAGTTTGGTGACTCAAAGCATCATATAATTGTTTTTCAATTTCAAATTGTTGCTGTTTTATTTTTTTCAACATGAACTCTAATGCAATATCAGCCGAATTTAATGTTGCGTCTTGTTGACAAAGTGCTTCCACGGTTGCTTTAATAGGAGTCAAAAGTACTTACTAAATCAGATATTATTTTGTATTTATTTTCGTTCATCTTAACTGAATCATCAATGTTGGAATCCAATTCTAAATCTAGAAATACCTTTTTAATACAATATTTCAACTTCTCAAATTGGTCTAGAATAAGCAACAAGCTGCTCCATCGGGTTTTACAATCCATGATTAAATGAATGACATTTCCAAACTCAATTTTTACGTACTTTTTTAAACAATTTTCATTTTTGCTTGGAGATCTTTTAAACATTTTTACAATTTTCCTGGCTTTAGTTATAACGGGTTTAATAATTTGGTGCTTAATTTTAACTTTAGATGTTTCATTAATAAACAATGAATCATTTATATCTCGAATGTAATCTTCCTCTTCAGAAACATAATCGCTATTATAATATATAATATATAATATATAATATATATTTCGCCATAAAGAAAATATTTACAAAATTAGACTTTAAAAACTGTATATACACGGCTGGGGCAAGAAGAAGACAAATTCAGTCTTATCGCCAAGCCCCTTCAAACAAGAATATAAGTAACAAACAAAACAAAAAACCAAAAAAACAAAAAAAATCCGTTATCACAATATAATATATGTGTAAGGTACATATATAAATACAAATATCTAAATATTTTTCATTAAAATTTAGTATTTTTTTTTTTTTTTTTTATTTATTAGGATTTCAAATTTTAATAGTAAATAAAAATGAGATAAAACATGATAATTTAAGAAGGTAAAGATTAAAATTAAAATCAAAAATTAATATGTTAAAAATAAATTAAATATCAAGTAAAAAACAAGTGATTTACTTACACCTATTTAAAAGTTTCAGAAGAAGTCAAGTTCATTGTCAATTATCAAAAGTTTACTTTTTATTTTTATTTTAAATTGATTAAGGGAAGAAATTTTTTTAAACTCATTATCCGATAGGGTGTTCCATAATTTAGGTCCTCTGATTGCTATTGAGAACCTAGTCGCAGAATAATATTTTTTTGGTTGAATATAATTGTTGTTTGAAAATCTTGTTGGGTATAAATGATTTATTTTTTCGAAAAATGAATTAAATAAAATGGGTGCCATTTTATTATCTACTTTGAACATAAATATAAAAATATGATATAGGTTAAGTTGAAATACGTTAAGTATTTTGAATTTATTAAAAGTTAATTTAGTGTGCGAAAAGCGATTCACATTTCCAATAATTCTTAGAGCGTGTTTTTGTTTAATTAGAAGCCCTTTATTTTTAGATACATTAGTGCTGCACCAAGCAACGTTAGCGTAATTTAGATAGCAATGAATAAAAGAAAAGTAAATAAGTTTCAAACAAGTTTGGTTCAACAACTGTTTTGCTTTGTATAAAAGGCCTATATTTTTCGAAATTTATTTTGGATTATTCGTATGTGCTCCTTCCATGTTACATTTTCATCTAAAACAACGCCTAGAAACAACAAAGAACTCTCTTTTGACATAAGAGTTATCAATAAAAAGCTTAGGAAGTTGTAAGGGTATGTTGTCTTTATCATGAAGACGATGGAAGAAAGTATATTTTGTTTTTTTAATATTTATGGACAATTTATTTGATATAAACCATTCGCTTAGTTTCACAAGCTCCTCGTTCACTGTTGTAAATAAAAAATTAATATCTTTACTTGAATAAAATACGTTAGTATCGTCAGCAAATAAAATTGAATTTAAGATATTGGAAAATTTACTCAAATCATTTATATAAATGAGAAATAAAAGTGGTCCTAGAATTGATCCTTGGGGGACTCCGCAGGTAATTGTCATCAAGTCTGTTTTCTCGCCATCATATAAAATGCATTGTTTCCTATTCTTTAAATAACTCTTAAACCAGCCTAAGTTAGAATTTATGATACCATAATTTTTAAGTTTATAAAAAAGAATATTATGATCTACGGTATCAAACGCTTTGCTCAGATCAATAAAGACACCTAAAGTAAATTTTTTTTCATCAAACGCTTTAAAAATTTCATGCACAAGATTAATTATTGCGTGATCGGTCGAATGATCGGATTTAAACCCGAATTGTTTATTGTAAATAATATTATTTACATTTAAGAAAGAATAAAGTCTATTATACATTATACGCTCCAAAATCTTTGAAAAACAATTAAGAACAGAGATCGGTCTGTAGTTGGAAACATCAGAAGGATCACCTGTTTTAAAAATTGGTGTAACTTTTGCACCCTTTAGTTTTTCAGGAAAAATTCCATGTTTTAAAGATAAATTAAAAATATGTAAAAGTGGTATTGTTATATATTTTAGTGACTTAATAATGACCATACTGCTGATATCATCTAAACCGGAACTTTTGTTAATTTTTAACAAAGAAATTGAATTTAATAATTCTTCCTCCTTAAGTTCATGATTTGGCATAACTGCATTAGTTGATGTCAAGTATGATTTAAATTTTATTTGAGATGGTTCAATTTTTTCAGCTAAACTTTTACCAACATTAACAAAAAAGTTATTTAGCGTTTCAGCCACCATTGATTTATTAAAAACTAATTTATTATTTAATTTGAGATTTTTTGGCATAGCATTTCTATCTAAATTTTTTTTGCCAATAACTTCCCTAATAATGCGCCATGTGTTTTGCGAACCATTACTTTTTATTATTTGATCTGAATAGTAATTAGCTTTTGAACGTCTCAAAGTTGACTCAAATAAACGTTTATAATTTTTATAGTTAGTTTCATTTTGAAGTGTTTTTTTTTTAAGATATTTACAATATAATCTCTCTTTTATTTTTGAAGATTTAATAATTCCCTTTGTTATCCAAGGTCTCATAAGGGTTTTTTCTTTTAATAATTTTGTAACTATGGGAAATGCTTTGTTATAATATTGAAGAAACTTATTTAAGAAGATATCATAGGCCTCATCAGCATTTAAATTTATTAGAGTTTCGTCCCATTTTTCGAATGATATAACATCATGAAAAGATTTAATGGAGGTATCGTTAGTTAGTCGTTTTGTTACTTTCCTTTTTTGAGAATAAGACTTATCGCATTTATTTGATATAATAAAAATTGTAAAATGGTCCGAAATATCCGTTTTAAATATTCCAGTTTTTATTTTTGTTGTCAGAAATTTATTTGTAAAAATTTGATCTATTGATGTTGCACTATACTTAGTTACACGCGTGGGTTTATTTATTAATGAAATGTAACCAGATTGAAAAAAGACATTAAAAAAATTATTAATGTGCTTATTAACGTCATAGTCAAAAATGTTGAT